CTGTGGCCTGAATGGCTTCTTCCTTGAGCTGTTGAATGGTGGCCAGTGAGTCTTCATATTTTTGCTCAACCTCATCCAGGCGGGATTTGAGCGCGTTCTCGCTTCGCCGTAAGGCATCGATATTAGAGCTAGCATCCTCGTTTAGCCGTTGCAGCTCAGATATGCGAGCGCTCTTCTCCTTCCGGAACTTCAGATACTCCCCGGATTTAGTTTTCAGCTCGTTTTCGAACCATTCGTTATTCTTCTTCAAAAGTTCTAGCTCTTGCTGGAGGCTTTGTTCGCGGAAACGCGTGCTTGAGGAGGCTGAGTTCGCGGCCTGTAACTTTTGTTCCAGACTCGAGACCTCGCGTCGTAATTCGATTGTTTTCTTATGCTGAGTCGATAGTTCCTCCGCTAGTTTATCATACGCATTGGATTTGGAGTCCAGTAGTGCGAGAGTATCGCGATTTGAAGTCTCCAACGAAGTGATTCGGGCTTTTAGGCTACTAAGCTCAGATTCACTGGTACTAGTAGATGACCTCAGAGTCGCGAGTTCGGATTCTAAGTTCGATCGCGTATTTTCTATTTCAATTTTGTTAGTAGATTAACAAGCAATAACTAGCAATGAAATATTACCTGATTCTTGAAGCTTGCCGCGAAGACTGGTGATTTCCGCCAACCCTTTTTCGACAGAGTTTTTAAGAACCTTCACTTTTGATTCCCCACTGCGAACAGCATTTTCGAGCTCAACATCCAGCCGTAGTTTATCAGATTTCAGTTCCTCTGCCTCGTGAGCCTTGGTGGAGATGCTTTCCAGGAGCTGATTGACTAGCTCTATTGTGGGATTTTGCGACAAAGTAGTGAGAGTGGTTTCGGGAATGGAGTAATGGGAGGAGAGGAAGGGAATATCGACCTCGGCGGTAGCCATGACTGCAACCAAAGAGCAAGCTTGCTCTTATGATTAAAATTTAGGCGTAACAGGCCACGCAGATAGCCGTCTTTCTGCGCTGACGAGCTCGACCGGAGGGCTTCCCAGATCAAAACAAATCAGAATATGGGCGGTTGCTGGTTCTGCCTATGCAATAAAGTTGTAAGACACAGCGCCCATATAAAAAATGATCTTTATCTCATGGCGAGGCAACTAGGGATAAGATCCGTAGCTTGAAAAGCATGAAGCAGTGACCTAGTAGAAGGCTTGACAGCTCTCCGTTTGTTGATTATCGCAGGCCAAACAACCTGGATTGGCAGAGAAGAGAGTCACGTGACCGAAGGGGGTAAGTAATATCACGTGATCTCAGGCAAGGGCATCCAGTATTCGCCTCAACAGGCCCAGAAGACCTACCAACATCACATCGGGGATGAATCAATCTGATCACACAGGACATTCAAGTCTTTGATTTACTCTTCATCCATTCACCCGCATCACAGCTGCGATTACAAGCTTGCAGACAATGTGGATGGCCCAGCCAACCTCGTAGCGAACACTGAGCAGCGGCTTACTGCGTCACTCCGTCTTTTTCACATTCTCGCTCGCATCATGTCCTACTTTCAGAACCAGATCAGCTCGTTCAACAGCAGCGTCGTGTCTGCTGCAAATCGTCTTCCACAAGATCGACGAACGGCCGGAAGCAACCTCGCTGCTGCTGCATCATCATCCGTTGTTGCTGCAGCTGCCAGCGCACAAGCTGCTAGATCTTCTTCCAGTACACCCGCTGCGAGTGGCCGCCGACATGATGCGGATACCATCTATTCTCAACCGGCCAACACCGGCACGGGGAAAGATATCATGACCCAGGTCGTGTTCGCTATCGACCATATGAAAAGCAAGGACTACGCGCTCAAGTTTGCGGATATCCTCTCCTACCTCTCGCTCCAGCAGCAGGGACATGACCCGGGCTACATTCAGGCACTGAAGCGCATTCTCCAGTCTCACGATAAGGTGGAATATGATCCTTCGGGTGCTAATGGGGAGGGTACCTTCCGGTTTAAGCCTCCGCATAATATCCGCTCAGCCGAGCAATTGCTTCGAAAGCTTCAATCCCAGCCGACGGCGCAGGGCATGAGTGTGCGTGAGCTACGGGAAGGGTGGCCCAATATTGTTCAGACTATCGATAAGCTAGAGAAGGAAGGAAAACTGCTTGTTACTCGAAATAAGAAGGACGACCACCCCAAGATGGTGTGGGCGAATGATCCTTCACTCATTCAGCATTTTGATCCCGAGTTCCGGCAAATCTGGGAGAAGATCAAGATACCCGACCAACAGGCGGTAACTGAAGAGTTGGAGAAGGCTGGAATTACATCAACAAGCAAGAATAAGGTGGCCAAACCAAAACCAAAGATCGAGCATAAGAAGGTGAAGAAGGCACGACGCAGTGGGAAGACTACTAATACACATATGGTAGGGGTGTTGAGGGATTACTCCCACCTGAAGAGATGATGAATTAACTTATAGATGCCACGATAGATTTTGTATCTTTGCTTTATGCAAACTTTTTTTTCTGAAATAGCTGCAAAGGTAACAGAAGACACACGGAACAAGAATGGTGGGGTTGTCTTTTATAATGTTACGGAACGGAGTTTAGCGTCCGTATATTGTTTCTTTCTTCCCTTTTTTTTTGGCCCTAGGATTGAGCTTTTATGTATATGGTAATGCTCTCCAGGCTTAATGGATTTCAGTTATAGTCAATAAACAAACATCACCTCACCAGGTGGGAGCTGCATTCCTTACATCTTCCTATCTCCGCTTGATTATTTATAACGCTCTAGCAAGCTGTACTGATTGGAACATTCAAAACCAAACCATCTAACTCTCTATGTCTAGTTAACTAGGGAATTGAGAAACCAAAAATCCGAACAAGGTCTAGCTGGTCGCTGCTCACTAGTGAATTCCTTTCTTTTTGATGGAGAGGGGTCACAAATTTCAAGCACAGCAAGAAAAGACCAATACAACAGAGCTGTCGACGGGGTATAGAAGTACGGCGTAATATGAACACTGAGGATGAAATGATAAAATACAACCCAAAAGGCCCTATCAAAACAAGCAACGACAATCGCAGTCGCACAAAAAGTCTAATGTTTCCCATTCACCTCCACACCTCCTTCTTTCATCAAATACTCCCTCAAATCCTCAATCGTACAAACCTTTAGACCCCACCGTTTTCCAAACTCCAAACATCTCTTGCCCCGCATCATCCCATTCCCCTCCATCGCCGGCACCCCTTCCACCTCCACTCCATCCTCAACAAGCTCACAGATAACAGCCGCCTCTGGCTTCCCTGCCAGCCGGCAGAAGTCCAACGCCGCCTCCGTATGGCCGGGTCTCTCAAGGACGCCGCCAGGTCTAGCTTGTAAGGGTAGGATGTGTCCTGGTCGGCGGAAGTGGGAGGGCTGGACGTCTGGGCGGGCGAGGGTGCGGCAGGTAAGAGCACGGTCATGGGCAGAGATACCCGTGGTGACGGACGGGTCGGTGGCGTCAATAGTGATTGTGTAGGCTGTGCCGTTTGGATCGGCATTCTCGACGACCATTTGTGGGAGATATAGATGCGTGCAGAGGGAGGCGGGGATGGGGGCGCAGATATAGCCGCTGGATTTATTGTTGGTTAGATATTTGCTTTCTTTTTTTCTCAATTGGATCTTAAACGAGAAGTGAAATATAATGTGTGTAACACATACCTGCTCCACCGTATCATGAACGCCATCCTGGCCGCAGTCACCGAGTCCGCAGAAATGATCAGATCCCCTTCATTCTCCCGGTTTTGCGAATCGAGGACTACGATGAACTCTCCATTTCCTACATATAGTAGAAAATGCACCTGTTAGCTTTCTTATCTCTGTCTTAGCTCCTTTCTCTTCCAGCTTTTTCCGGAGTGGTTCCCGAGTTTGACCCCGCAAAATCGAGCGTGGTTCATGGAGGGGCAAATTTTCCCAGGAATTAGGAGAAAAACAGCATGTCTTCTTACTGAACGCCTCTATCGACTCCTCAATCGTGCTGAACCGCAGGTTCTCGTCTGTTTTTGAAGGCATGGGGTGCGGTTGTGTCTTCTCCGTTAACAGCTGAGCTGCTAGAGATGTAATGCGATTTGGGGGCGTGCGGAAACTCGTCCAGTCACAGCAACAGCGCCAGAAAGCTAAGCAAGAGCCTGGCAGAGCACTACTCCTTTGGTCTCAGGTAATAAATAAGGTGAGAAAAAGCTAATTCGTCCGTTTCCAATGCGAGTTTGCTCTGCGCGGAAGTCCGTTCGGCAGTTCGACGGCGGGGGAGAACAATGGGCAAAGAGGTGCCTTGACGGGAAGCAATTAATATATACAGGGAAATGTCAACGATGCGACGAAATGCTTTTCTCTGTGTTGAACTCGGCGCGCGCCACAAATTGGGCTTTCTGGCTGAATTTGGCGGAGGCGGAATGCTGACGGGAATCAATCGATTGAGAAGGGTCAAAAAAACGAAGGGAACTAGAAGAACATCAATGATCGTGACAGTGGTATCCAAAATAATATATGTACACACGCACATATATATAGTAGAATGAGACGGGCAAAGAAAATAAAGCGGTGTTCCAAGCGGGTACGAGGATCGCAAGAGATTGATTATGAGAGGAATTAATAATTGTTTTCTTATTTCGGGCGGAATATTTTACATATTCCCGCCACATGCCGCAATGAGCCTCGGCCAGCGCTGCGCCTAACTAACGGGGGCGGGTGACAAACCTCCGTCAAAATGCCAGTGCTTTTGCTTGCACAGAATAGCTAGCAGTAAGGGAATAATAATAATATATACGGAAAAGTCGTAACAAACCAATCCACATAATTCGGCTTAGATTAATTATCGACTGTTATAAAAAAAAAAAAAAAAAAATGCGACAAGCGCCTATAATAAACCATATATATCAAAAACTGTATCCAAGACCAACAATCTCATCATACCTTCTTCCCTAATCTCGCAAATCACCCATCCTTTATATATCTTAACCAAATAGAAAACTAGATTCCAAAAGTTATATACATTTATGGCACGCAAATTCTCATGCTCCCATCCCAAAATCCCCCATCCACGTAAGTTCTTGCTGGTGCGTTCGCAATGACTTAAAACCAGTCTCCGCGTACAGAGCCCTCTTACGCTCCTCATCGCGCCTTGCAGCCTCTGCCATTTCTTCTTCATAGATCTCAGCCTCCTTATTCCAGTCATGGCCAGCTTTACTCGAAAAGCGCAGACGACCAATCCTGTCTCCGGTCCAAATGAGGAGCTCGTCGTCTAGCACATCGCTGTAGCCTGTGGGCAGGATTTTACGAACGATATCGGAGTCACCGGTAGCATACTCATCGGTCCGCCTGTAATATTCCAGATCATGTGAGCTCGATGGAATTGGGTGCGTTGAGTCTAGTTGACGTCTGCGATGTTTGGTGTCGTTGCTCAGGTTCCATCGTCGTACTTCGGTTCGACCGTCTCGTTCGACCCATTTGATATACCCATTCGCGTCAGTGAAGACGAGACGAGTGCCATGGACCGCCACGGACAAAAGCTTCGAGCCAGAAGCACTCTGCCGATTGAGACAGATACCGTCCTTTACAAGTAATGAGCGTTTCTGGGTTTGGAAATCTCCGGGGGTGGAAGGAGTAGAAGCCGAGAACATTTCAAGAGACCCGCGTCCCTTGTACTCGCCAGCTGCAACGATGGTGTGGTTATTTTGTAGCTCGGGGCATGTTACCGAGTACGGCCGGGGGCAAGCTGGGATAGCTGTCAAGCTACATATTCGTGCACCCGAGTGGGCAGTGCTCAGTAAACTAGACAGGTTGCGGCGATCATATAGCAAGATCGCTGAAAAGCGCCCGGCAACCACGATTGAGTTTATATTCGGCGGGGGTGTGTGTAACACCGAAAGAGGAACAGGCTGGAACAATGATACGAATCTACTGTTGTAAGGAGGCATGGGGTAGTGTATCTTAGTATCTGATCCGGCACCACAGAACCTAGGATCATAGATATTGAGGCTCCGGGTAGTGCCCACGGTCAATGGCGCTGCATACTCAGTTTCCTGAGAAAGCGCGAATATCGACCACGGGTATTTCTGCTGCGATACTACCTGAAGAGTGGATAGATCAACCTCATTCAAAATGTTACCTACCGCGATATAGGCAGTCTGGTGGAATGAATCGACGCTCACACATTCCCCAATGCTTATGAAGTCGAGGTTCGTCGGCCTTGAGGAGAAGGGCTCATGTGCTCGTCTTGATGAATCCGTCGTAAGGGCACCCCGTGCACTTGTCTCAACAATTTTCCCTCTCGTATTACGTTTACACAGGCTCGACCGGTTAAGATCCCACAGACAGAGCGTCCCGTCATCGAGGGGCCCGATTATCTTATCTGATCCTCCGTAGCGGTAATCTTTCAGAAGACCCATACCCTTGACTTCACGTTGAATAATGGCATCATCCCCATCTTGGTCCGCAGCTGCATACGGCTCTTGCAGCCACTGGACGGAAATGGGGGCATTCCGAGCGATGTATTCTGAATACCAGTCGACTTCCTCCCCCTCGTAGGAAGGATCCCAGTGGCTCGCAGAGCTGGCGGGTGGGCTGGTCCGTCTGTCATGGGCTCCGTCTGCATCCGCATGCGCGGACTCGGATGATTCCGTAATGCTGCCACCTTGAACATGGCCCGTCAGAAATGCATCTATAACGGAGCCTGGGTTGTTGGCGCTGTTGGTGTTGGGCCTCCGATTGTGAAACAAAGCATTGCGATCTTGTAATTTATGGTTAGCTGCCTCATAGCAGTGTTGGCGCCATATCGAATTGTCGCGGCATATGTTAAAGAGCCGCCTGGAGACAACCTGGAGGGCAGCCAGTTCGCTTGGGCCGATATCTATCGACGATGGGTCAGCTCTAATGTTGACGGCTGGGTGCCGAAGCGAGAGTCGGGTGTTATTGTGAGCTTACACTCAAGTATCCGGGAGACAAGCTCTACTGGTAGCTTCTCCATGGGTCAACATATGTAACACAAAGGCACACAACGAGAACAACAGCAGCAGATGCATTGCGGGTAAAATTCCAGTTCCAGGTTCGAGATTCCCCTCAATGCAGCTTTTTAGCTTGGAAGGCAAGAGTTGGTTCGAGTTGCAGGTCATGTGATTCCTCCACGCCCTTCCGACCCCATGCAGATATGGAAGTGGACAAAGATAACTATATATGGCATTACCCCAACATCATCATTTATTATCATTACTCCGTATAAATCCAACATATAGATCACCGCACTTGCGATTCCGCGTACATCAACGTCGTAATTATATGTATCCAGAACATTGCTCTATGTATCGGGTTTAAACACCGCATCCTTGCAAAGAATAGTCACCTTCTTGAAGAACCTTCTCCATTCCAGCGGATCGCCTTTTACCTTAACAAATTCAACCTCCGCATGCCCATCCGTGATACTTTCAATAATAACATTGCCGTGGAGGGGGCACTTCCTGTCATCCTGCGTCCGTATCCGGATGACTATCGCGTCAGCAGAATCAGATGATGTCGGGGATGCTGGCACATGCAGCAGCTGGAGGGCTTCACAGACGCGTGTTACCAGTAACCCAAGAGGCCATGTCGAGGCAAACCGGGTCAGGCGAGATGCAGGAACGATATCCTGGAAGTTCTGTGCGTTCTGCGTTCGACTGATGGGGACGGAGGGGGTTGTGGAGAATTGAGACATTGACGGGTCTTGAGATAAACGTTCTGTGAGGAGCATAACATGATCCGAATCCATTGACTTGGGTTGGGAGAAGGCAGATTGCGATGATAAGCGGGGGGGTCCATCCCAATCTAGCATGTCCTCGACAGGATAATCGGGTTGAGTGGATGAAAATCTAGGCTTCATAGACGACCCTGGTTCATCTAGATCCATGGCGCTGGTATCCGTAGCAGTGCGCTGAGGCTGAGAAGAAAGAGATAGCGGATCTCTGTTGAAATCAATATGTAATGATTCGAACATGGTGGTAGCTAGATTTAAAGGGTTGGATAACCTGTTATCCGCACACATGTAAGGATTCTCCCGTGTAAACCATGGGTGTCTACGGATATCATCCATAGTGAACCTCTTCGCGGTGTCGATCTTCATCATTCCCCGAAGGAGAGACAGTACAGCAACGGGTAATCGTTCCCACAGCTCATCCGTTGGTTTGGAGTTTGTTTTCACATACTCGACAAATTCATAACTCTCATCCGTTGGGCTATCCCAGGGTGTATTGCCAACAAGGAGGACAAAGAGAACCACTCCACAGGACCAGATATCCACAACATCTGCTCTGTAACCATCGCCCTTGGACTTACCTCTGCTACTGCACTTCACCACCTCGGGGGCGATGTAGGGCGGGCTGCCGCACAGGGTTGAGCTCAGCTTCGTCTCTCCACGGTACTCATACAGCGTAGCTAGTCCAAAATCGGCTATTTTCAAATTGCCATCCGCGGAGAGAAGAATGTTCTCGGGTTTGATATCCCGATGGGCCACGCCCTTGGAATGCATGTATCCAACTGCATTTACCAGCTGACAGAAGTAGACGTGGGCGATATCTTCCCCGACTCCCTCGTCAGCCTCGATCTTGTCAAACAAGTCGCCCCCTTCAGCTAATTCCATGGCTATCCACCGCCAGCAATCATCCTCACCGGTTTCGTGGAAGTAGATGATGTTATTGTGGCGTCCGATGTGTTTATGCAGGGCCACCTCCATTTGTAGTTGTTTACTAGTGATACGCCCATGTCGAGCTGCGTAATCCTTGTGGATGAATTTAACTGCGAATATAGGCGAGTCGCTCTGGAGCGGGCATGCCCTTTTGATACTGCGAGCGGGGAGCCGGGAAAAAGGATATCAGCTTCTTTAGTTTTTTTCCTTTTTTTCTTTCCTTTTGTATTCTTCTTTACTCTAGATAGACAAAATATCAGAGCGGGGTATATGATATATCAAGTTACCATACCATGCATATGCCCCCTGTCCAATTGTTTTCGACACTATGCGAAATGGCAGGTCGTTGGGAAGCGGGGCCAATTGAGAGTGCTTCATGGCGACGGCTAGGCCACTATCTAGCCTTCAAGAAAGTTGCTGAGAAAAGAAAAAAGAAAAATCCGCCAGCGCTCAGACAACCCATCCGGACAAGGAGGGTTCAGCTGTACAGCTGTTGGGGTGGTGGCACAGCACAGCAACGCGTTCTCCTCCCAGCTACCGAGCGACGGCGCAGCAGATATGGAACCTTCGACGCGGGCTTGCTAGCTGGACTAAATAGTAGTTAGACAGCGAAGCGAGAAGGATTGAAGCATTATTGAGCTGAGTTGGCGAAAAACGGTGTGCAGGATGATATCACATTATTATACATCTTGGGGTTTTTTCTGCCGTGGAGCCTCGAGGGTAGGCGGTGACCAATCACCAGCGGCAGCGGCAGCGGCAGCGCGGGCGCGCGGGAAGTTGGTTGCCCGGTAAACAAACCTCCAGAAGCTCACCCAAAACGCTGGGTTTGCTACAACCGAAACAACAACCTCTTCCGGCCCCAGTCTTGACAATTCATGCCATCATCCCTACATTATCCTGTTTCCTGTTTTAACCCTGGCTATCATAAGGTGACTTTGACTGCTGCGCGAGGAGCATTCAAAACCCTTGTTCTGGCCCCCTCCCTCTCAGCCGGCCCCCGCTGCTTGATTGACAATCAGCGAGAGCTCTCGCAGCCTCCTCTATAAAAGCCCCCTTGTCTCCCCATTTCCTATTACCATTGTCGTTTTCGTTTGGATAAACAAGAGAGTTGCTCAAGCAAGCACGCGGCCATGGACTACAACGTGGAAGACACCCAAAACTCCGGCCCAGGTTCCGCCGTGACCCTGGAGACTTCAAAACTGGGCATTGGCGTGACAAGGACGGATACTCAAAATGTTACGAAGCGGTGCGTTTTTATGCTATCCAACAAAAGTCATAGAAAGGACTTCTTCTTCCTATAAGCGCCCGAAAACAGTGCTCTTGTTCTGCTGGCGCTGACCCGGACTGCTGGGAATCCTAAGCGCCTCTGTACCCCAATACTGCCATCGGTAACCCTGCTAATAGTATTAATTCGTGGAATGCAGACTACAGAGTGAACTGATGCAGTTGATGATGTCTCCTTCGCCGGGTATATCTGCCTTCCCAGACGCTGATGGCAATCTACTTTCGTGGACGGCCACAATCAGCGGACCAACAGAGACGCCCTACGAGGGCCTCACATTGAAGCTCTCCTTTGTCTTTCCTTCAAACTACCCCTATGCGCCGCCGACAGTCCTCTTCAAGACGCCCATTTACCACCCCAACGTCGACTTTTCCGGTCGGATCTGTCTCGATATTCTGAAGGATAAGTGGAGTGCGGTGTACAATGTGCAGAGCGTTCTGTTGAGTCTGCAGAGCTTGCTGGGGGAACCTAACAAGTCAGTTGTTATTTTATTTTATTTTTATTTTATTGTATTTCACTTTATTTTATTTTTGGCTACGACCACCATATTATATACTTGACATAAGTTTTAGGGAGGACTCTCGCTGACCAGAGCTTCTTCTACGATTTAGTGCAAGTCCACTAAATGGTCAAGCCGCAGAGCTCTGGGACAACAACCCAGAGGAATATAAGCGGCATGTTCTCGCACGACATCGGGATATTGAAGCTGGTGAATAGAAGATTAAGGTCATTTGGCTATTGACGACAATTTATGATGGAGCTGGAAATTAATCAGGATGCATAACGTTTCTTTTTCTGGTTGGTTTTGCATGAAATAAAACCACCGTTGGGTTGTTTTGGGGGGTTATACATTGCGAGCCCTTGTGGTTTACTCTCTTCCACCACCGTTTTGAAACATGGAGTTCGTCAGGGTGCTCTGCTTCTTTTTTTCTTCCGCTATTTATTTATATTTTCCCCTACAACTGGGTTGTTATGACTTGGAGTACGAATTCCAGTTTTTGGAGGACAGCGAATAATATTCCTCTCTTCTTTTTTTCCCAACTCTCGCTGTTCCTCTTCCTCTCTCATTTTAGCAGACACTGCCTTCCCACTGTTTCATACGCTACCTTCACATACCTAGTCATCTTCCTGCTGGGGAGTTTTGATCTCCTTCCCATGTTGTCGTTGGTTCGCATTGGATCTCCAAGAATGCTGGCGTGCGAAGTTTGCCATTGGTGAAATTGAACAACGCCCTGTTGAAGTCCCTCTTTTTTTTTCACCTCTAAGCTCTCAAGCGGAACTCACAGAGGCTATGTTTGTATATGGATTATCCTTAAAATTGCAGAACATATCATTATCCTACACTCTGCCTTCGGAGACGTGCGCGCGGTGTGTCCTTTGCAGACCCGACTACCGTGTACCGTGGCTCCCACTATCACCTCAGCTACTAAACGTAACACCCCTCTTCTACAACATATACTACACTTGACATTCAACAGCAGATGGAGTTAACGTGCCTTTCACTACACCAGGAGCCAATGCTGTCATGCGTCTTTTAGACCATTTCTCTCTAGAGACGTAGTTGACAGCACACTGTCTGTAACTTACACCGAGAAAGAGTTTTATAAACCGGCATACTCTAGCGATAATATCCAGGAGCGTCAAGGTATAGAGAAACAAGCCAAGCTCCTGTCAAATGTCGAATGAGTGGGTTAAATCAGGCTGTATTCGGCAAGACCTATTAGGAAAAGCAGTCACTGAATTTCTTCCATCAGTTGGAAACTTTTATTACTAGATAGTCTGTATTATTTTACATGCAGCACGATGTCTGTCTTGGGAGGAGGTGGAGAGCTTGTCCAGCTCGGGAATCGTGAGCTAGTTACTGTTGAACCTTAAAAAGATGATGTTCCCCACTGCGGCCCCGCCAAAGAAAAGAAAGATGAGGCTATCGGACCCGCTTCTGGCGCATGTTGAATAGAGGGCATTGGGAGAGAGCTATAATATGACCTCACTTTTTCTGTGCGGCAATTTTGTTCAGACTGCTTTGAGGTATGTGAGTGTGAGCCAAGTCACAAGTGAGAAGCAAGGATAGAATAGAGCAAGTTTACTGATGAAATTGAATGAAAGTGAAGTTTATATATAACTGTCTATAAGTCAGGTTTATACTTCTGATCAGTATTAACAGACTTATTTATAAAGATAGAATCAGTTAACACTGCAGAGTTAATTAGAGAAAATAAGCTTATTTATATAATAATCTTATAAATGTCTGATGGCAATAAATTAGCTGATTTAGCTGCAAAAAAAAGTTCAGAATTAAGAAGATATATTCAAAAAACAGTGTTCTGATCTTTTATAAGGAGAAAGATAAAAGAATCTTATTTAAATAAGTGAAATAAAAGCTTGAAGAAATAAAAAAAAGTATATATTATTAGACTGGCTGCTGAGACTATGAATTTCATATTTAATCTTATTTAATCTAATCTTATACATTTCTTAGTATGAATTCTGCTGAAACTAATCATTAAAAAAACATACAAAGTGACTATATATCAGATCTTAAAATGAGATCATGACTTAGAAAAAATAAGAAAGTGATTTCATTTAATCTTATTTAGTCTCATTCTTAGTATAAAGTGACTATTTTTAGACATTTTAAGGTTTTTTTTAGACTATTTTTAATTTTTTAAAAAGTAACACTTTTTGATAACACTTAAATAAGATTTAAAGTCATTTAAAGTAATAAAAATAATTTAAATTGAGAAGTAGAAATCATGATCTCATTTGAAAAATATAATAAGAGTAGACAGTAAGTTTCACTGAGATAGTATGAGACTACTATTTAACATTAAAACAGTGTAATGAGATCAGTTGAATTAATAATAAGATTATTAAATATTCTAATTCTGATCTCAGACATGATCACACAGTCAGTCTATATATTATTTAAGATTTTATAAGAGATCTTAGACTGACTGTGTGAGTTGTAACTATGTCTGAGATCAGAATCAGATTTTTTAATAGTCTTATTATCAATTCAACTGATTTCATTACACAGTTTTAACATTAAATAGTAGTCTTATACTGTTTTAGTCAGACTTACTGTTAAACTGGCCGCCGGGACCATGAATTTCATGTTTGGTTTCATTTGGTCTGGTCTCATACATTTCTTGGCGTGAATCCTGCTGGGACTGGCTATCAAAAAAACATGCAAAGTGACTATATATCAGATTTTAAAATGAAACCATGACTTGAAAAAAATGAGAAAGTGATCTCATTTGATTTCATTTAGTCTCATTCTTGGCATAAAGTTACTATTTTTAGACATTTTAAGGTTTTTTTTAGACTATTTTTAATTTTTTAAAAAGTAATGCTTTTTGGTAACACTTAAATGAGATTTAAAGTCATTTAAAGCAATAAAAATAATTTAAATTGAGAAGTGAAAATCATGGTCTCATTTGAAAAATGTGACAAGAGTAGACAGTAAGTCTCACTGAGACAGTATGAGACTACTATCTAATGTTAAAACTGTGTAATGAGATCAGTTGAATTGATAATGAGACTATCAAAAAATCTGATCCTGGTCTCAGACACGGTCACACGGTCAGTCTACTTACTGTCTACTCTTATTACATTTTTCAAATAAGATCATGATTTTCACTTCTCAATTTAAATTATTTTTATTACTTTAAATGACTTTAAATCTTATTTAAGTGTTATCAAAAAGCATTACTTTTTAAAAAATTAAAAATAGTCTAAAAAAACCTTAAAATATCTAAAATAGTAACTTTATGCTAAGAATGAGACTAAATGAAATTAAATGAGATCACTTTCTCATTTTTTTCAAGTTATGATTTCATTTTAAGATCTGATATATAGTCACTTTACATGTTTTTTTAATAACTAGTCTCAGTAGAATTCATATCAAGAAATGTATGAGATCAGATTAAATAAGATTAAATGTGAAATTTATAATTCTGATAATCAGTCTAAGAGATCTACACTGAAAAGAGTAATATTAATATATAGATTTTATATAATAAAAGTGAAAAATATTAGAGAAGGAAAATAAAAGACACAGTATAAGAATCAGTAATCAAAGTGAATATTTATACACATATAAGATAAAGCTTCAGAGTGAAAGAATAGAAGCTTCAGAGTGAAAGAATAGAAACTCTGTAAGTTCTTTAATTAAGAATTAGTGACTGAGAATCAGAGCTTTTAGCAGAAATTTATGAAGTGTAATAAAATAGTTCTATGATTAAATACAGTCTGTCACATTAACTCTTTCTTTTCAGAAGTGAGATTGTATATAATTCTCATCAGTTAAGAAATACTGTTTCAGATAATACAGAGCTTAGAGTTTAGATCAGATAATTATAACTAATTTATTTTACAAGATATTATTAATTATAGCTGTAAGATCTCTTATTAAGAATATCTTTAATCTCTTATTTAAGTTCATTATCTTCTTCTATAATTTCTGACAGCTGTCAGTCAGAAGTTAGTTAACAAGAGAATAAGTCAGTAATAATAAAGTGAAGTAAGCTTATATAAAAAATATTATAAATCTCTGATAATATGTTAAAATAGTAGTTATAACTGTCTAGAACTTCTATTACTTTGTATTTAATATAATAATAGTTCAGTGTATAAGATAAGTATATAATCTGTATATTTTTAAAATTCAATTTTATCAGATCTTCTATCTTATATTACTCATTAAAATCTTAGTGAATATTAACTTAGTCTTTTTAATCTTATTTAATACTTATTATGAAGACTTCTGCTCAGTTATAAGTATCTCAGAGCTTTATTACTATATTATCAGTGATCTGAATTGAACTGTGAAAGTGTAAGAAATCCCGCTTCTCACGGATTCTTTACCCCTATTCCTATCTCTCACATAATCAATAGGGCTAGCGGCCCTTGGCTACACACAACTATATAGACTGGAGTTCACAAATACTATTCACAACTCAGCTTGAATGCCATTATACATTTGATCTCTACATTTATCTTTCTACTGTGAATACTTCTAGTAGTTAACAGTACATATCATGTCAAGCTGCAAACACCTGAATAATCACCTGTAAGCACTTATTCTTACATTTCAAGCTCAGTCAGTCAGCAACTGCTCATTATAACTGAAAGAACTAGAAACTCACATGCTTCAACCTCTGCAAACCCTACTGCAGGCACTCAGAAGCAGCCACCTGAATCATGAATAATCTCTGTGAAAGAAGTCTCAGAGAACTTATCAATCACTCACAGAACATCATTCTCTGCATCTGTGACAGAGGAATTCTCTGAACCCATGAATAAATTAATCTCAGTGAAGAACATTCTTGAGCATCTTCTATGAAATCAAGCTATTTTTCTACAAGAAATGCTTACTATCTGTAAACACTCTTGAACTGAGTCTCTAGACATAATCTTCAGAGATACTTATGAACTGAAAAGAAACTTTCTCAAGCTGCAATCACTTAAGGTCATCTATTGAATTACAATCTATAAAAGCTTTTACAAGTTTGCATTTAAAATTGACTCACAAGCCCGGCTGTGTGACATGAAAGATGAAGAAGCTGTCATCTATGTAATAACAGGCCTCTATTACACTGAAGTCAAGAACTGGCTGAATTATCTAGAGAATGATTATAAGAGATTCTGATAATCTGTTCTCAAGATCTATCTAGAGAATAAGTTAAGAGACTCTGTGAGCTGAACAGAGAACACCTGAGCTGTGATCACTAACATTAGAAAAAGAGATGAGAAATCTGATGAAGACTACTTACAGCACTTCATGAAATTGTGATATGAATTGAGATCTGTGAAAACAGGGCTCTGAAACAAGACCTGAATAATGATGTTTATAAAGAGACTGAATAAAGACATGCAGAACAAGCTCATTGAGCAAGGCTCTAAGTTCTTGACTCTGAAGAAACTGATGACTCTCATTCATTGCTTACAGATCACTGTGAGAGTCATAGACTTATAAAGAGCAGATTATTGATCAGCTCTGTGAGAGTCAGAACAACAGAGAACAGATTTGTCAGAAAAAGATAATAAGACATAGAGAGATTTGTATCTAACTGCTGAGCAGAGAGAGAGAGCTTCACAAGCTTCTGTGAACAGAGTGCATAACAGAGAGATCAAGAAAAAGAAACTCTGCTTCATCTGTTCTAAATCAGAACATCTTCATGCAAACTGTTCAGACAAATCAAAATAGAAATTTAAGAAGTTATGAACAGAGTCAGCAACAGCCTTCTTAAGAGTCTTGAAGCTGACATCTGAATCTGTTGCTCTCTCAATGAAAATGCTTACTCATGAGAAGAGACTGCACTGTGATACTGCTGCCCTGCAAGCATGAGAAGCATTGATGAACTCAGAATTTCAGGTTACTGTGATGTCTCTAAAGCTTGCAGAGTAAATGAGCTGAAAGATGAAGACTGAGAACCTGCTCTTGTAATAAGTAGAGCATGAGAACTCAGATCTGAGAGCTGAGAGACTTGTGAGAATTATCTTTGAATTACAAGATCTCTCTGAAACCTGAAGAAGATTTGTGAAAACTGTGATTATCATGAATATCACAGATGACATGTATTTGAGACTTACATGACTTCAAAGACACAATTCATACATAGCTGTTCATAAGTCAGGTTTATACTTCTGATCAGTGTTGACAGACTCACTTATAAAGATAAAAGCAGTTAATGCTGCAGAGTTAATTAGAGGAGATAAGCTCATCTATGTGATGACTTTGTAAGTGTCTGAGAATCTTGCAGTCATGGAAACTGAGCTTCAGATATCAGAGAAATATTAAGATCTCACAGAGATATTCAGCTCAGCTAAGGCAGCTAAGCTTTCTTCTCACTGTGAGAAGAATCTGATAATAGATTTGATAGAAGAACAGAAACTCTTCTGAGAATCAATCTATAAGCTCTTTCATCATGAGACAGAGGTCTTGTGAATCTATGTGAAGAAGAATCTGAAGAATGACTTCATCTGATCTTCACAGGCCTTCACAGGAGCCTCTGTGATGTTTGTGAAGAAGAAGAATGAAGATCTCAGATTGTGTGTAAACTATCATGACTTGAACTTCAAGATAACAAAGAGCTGTTATTCTCTGTCTCTGATTGAGAATGTGATCAACTGTCTCACAGAAGCTGTCATATTCATACAACTGAATATGATCAATGTATATACACAGCTGTGAATACAGTCTGAGAATGAATGAAAGACTGTCTTTAGAACTGCACTGAAATTGTTTGAATATCTAGT